GCAAATCTCGTGCGCTGCAGCCTGAGGTTATTGCATTTTTTTTTTAGGGACACCTCCCTCCAATTCCGTGGAACCAAAATTGTAGAGCAGATCATGGTGTAGTCTGCGCTTCACTTCTTAGCTGTAAAAATAGGTATCGAAGAGTGATTCGGCGTTAAATTTTATTAGAATGTTCAGCAATGAGCTAGTATAGTTATGTGTTTTTGGAATTAACTGTTAAAGACATATTACGGTTAGAATGTTCGGTAAGTGCAAGAGCAGCTGCATCCAGTGATGACCATCCCGCCTGTCTGTTGATACGTTCTTTCGCACACTCGTCAGACTGCTCAAAAATTTTCAGGTTTGTAGCAAATAACTGATCTTCCAGTGCTAGAGGTGTCGACGGCTCAACTTCGTCAAACGGATAGTTGCGCAGTTCATTCATTCGTTTCCTAATACTGACAAATGTAAATCCGCCATAAACTTATTCGTAAAGGACTTGTGGAAGCGAGACCCACAGGAACCTTATCAACGACAATTGCTATTGGCATATGCTATTATTCGGTTGCATCTAAATATAGCCACAATACAGAAGGGGTCTATTTTTGTTTTACTGAACGTATTCCACGGCTGAAACTGCCCGGAAAATGAATTGCTGCGCCTCAGTTCCAGGAAATGAGATCTTTATAAAATGAGAGAAATATTCGCCAGTCAAGCGACTAGGTATGGTGCTCGGGCAGCAATTGTCAGCGATGTGATAGCAATAATCGCAGAAAAGAGGATTAGCCCGATACGATCGACAACCATTGCTGCGAATCGCCATTCGTTTGCAATTCGCTTCTCCTCAATTAAGTCGTCGCTTCTCTCACGAATACCCTTAAAATCAAAATGCAGTTTAAAATATAAGTTTGAGTAAAAGTTATTCAAGCCACAAAATTCTCAGGATTGTCCCGAATATACATGCGTACATATATTCATTTATTTGTTTGTTTATAAATAAGCCCACCACTAGTCTGCTTCTAAGCAGCCCTCAAAAGGAACCGCTAAAAGCTTTGGCAGCAGGTGGCTGTTGTTGGGATTTACTGCCCTCGGTAAACCAACGCTTTTTTTAAGGTATAAAAACCTAACAAACACACACATATATGTATATATACATATATTAATCTCTTCCATATACGTATACAAATGGTTTTTGATAAAATTCAATATATACATACCAGATTTTTTATATGCATATAAATATAAATCAAGTATAAGAATATCTGATTTTTATGCTTTAGACTTGTATTCCGGCGCATCCTGTTGTGAGATCTGGATTCAGCTTGATAGTCCTAATTTTCGTGTAGTATGGGAGTTTCCCAAGTTGGATATGATTTCTTGACTTATGCACGTTCAAATAATTGAATCCGCTAAACATTCGAACTGTGAGATTCCAGCGTAT